AGGACCCTGAGGTATCCATGCTAATGTGTCACCTGTTTATCCCCTTCAAGTCTTAAAGATAGATCAGGATCCTATGTGGCAAATCCTAAATAATAATTTCTGGATTTTTGAATTTCATTCACTTAGCTTTGATTTCACTAATGCACAATGGTTCATAATCTAATAGGATGGATTTATGTGCATATAGTAATTTCAAAAGGGGACTTATTATCTATCATTCTATAGTGTATTTCTGCCCTTGAGCTCACAGGCCTTTGTACATGATAAGAAAGTACACCTTGAAGGGTTTTGTTTTTTACTTTTCTGAAGTGATACCTTTCTGACTGATCAGGTTTAGAGAATTCTTACTGTCAAATTGTGAAAATTTTATCCAATCAGAAGCCTGAGTGAAACCTTCCAGAACAATTCTTTCTACAAATCTGTACAGAAAGATGAAAGGTCAAATATAAGAGGGATTTCCCTTCCTCATAGTACTCAGCAAAGAATTGAGCTAGAAGCAAATTCTTCAGTGGATTAGGAATTAAAAACCAGGAATACAGAACTAGTCTTTGGACTTGAAACCATCCATAGCTCACATAAATTTTCCCAAATGAGCAGGCAGATGATAAGAATTTTTCTTTTTTCCTAGAGATGTTTAATGCCATGTTAGATATTTTGAAAAACAGGCAACCTTAAAATTAAGGAATATACATATATAGTACATATATATATATAAAATTTCTTTTAGAAGTCTTTATTAAAACAACAGCTAAATGATTCTGTACTTGCTGGCAGGAAAAGCTCTTCATCCTATGGGCTGGATATGCCTGTGTCTTCCTTGAGTGCTGCATGGCTGAGGACTGACTACTGAATGTCTCGCACCAGCTCACTCCTGAGAGAGACCTGCCTTGGTCAACTCGGAGGACATGTTTAACACATCTTTAATTTATTAGTATTTCTTCTTTCCTCGCAGAAACTAGAGAGAGGAATAGTGCATTGTCTTAGATTGACTTTCCTGGGAAACCGTCTCTGGAATGGAGATATGTGTGTAAGAATATTGTTAGAGAATATTCTCAGAATGGCCCCTAACAGGGGTTTGAGCTGTTTGGAAGGCGACTGGATTATGAGTGCATAGCTGACTTTCTGTTAGGATGTGGGGCCTGGTTTGAGGTGAGCCACTGGGTGTACAACCCGGAAAGGAACACTGTGTCTTCTTTCCTGGCCCCTCCCCTTTCTCTCTCTGCTTCCTGGCTGCCATGATGTTAGCAGCTTTTCTCTACCCAGGCCCTTTCACTGTGCTGTTCCTGCCATGCAGCAGACTGATAATCTACTGAAACCTCTTAAAACTGTGAGCCCAAAATAAACACCTGAACCTTTAAGTTGTGAGCGTCAGGTATTGTGTCTCACCACAAAGAAAGTGACTAAGACACCCCCCTCCCCAAAGAGGAGGGAAAATGGAAAGAAGAGAAAGATGATCTCTATGAGAGCGTGAAGGTGGCTGTAACTGGAGCTCTGGGGCTAGGATGGCCCTGCAGATTCAAGGAGCCCGGGCTTCATTCCATCCACTCGTGTTGATCTCCTGGCGTGTGCTGCCTCAGAGAAGTGACTATGACCCTTGGCAAGGCAGCTTTCTGGGCTGAGAAAGTTCACAAAGGGTATCTTGGCTGGGAGGCTGCTAGTGCAACTCCCAATAGCTGGGGAATAAGCACCTCCATGCTGAAAGAAGCCTTCATGTTGTGACACACACCAAACATGCCATGTGGCTTAGCTTTTGTTGTAGGCAAAATCTGGTGCAGCTCTTTCCCCTTGGACTGTTTTCTATTGCTGTGGTTTAGATCAGTGTTACTCAGATGTTCTTGTGTTAAAAACTTGGTCCTCAGGGTGATGCTATTGGGAATTGGTGGAAGTTTTAGGACTTTAGGCCTCATGGGAGGTCCTTAGGCCATTGGAAGCCTGCCCTCGAAGGGATTTGTGAGAACCCATCCTCTATCTCATTCCTGGCTTGTAATATGAAGGGTTTTGCTCTGCCATGTGCTGTGATCATGACGTGGTTTCTTGCCTGAGTCCCAAAGCAATGGGACCACATGGTCATGGGCTGAACCCTTCAAACCATGAGCCAAAATAAACCTGTTTATAAGTTAATCTTCTCAGTTATTTCTTCATGATGACAGAAAATTGACTAGTATGCATACATATACGTGGTTAATTTGGGGTTAGAATTCCTGTGTGTGCACTTGTGCATGCACACATGTGTGATATCATTTTCTATGTCTGTGGCTATACCTACATGATTTATTCCCAAGGGTACTGTGCCCATATTCGCAGCATTTTATGGTACTTTCTGCATGTCCAGAGGCAGACAAAGTGAGGGAAAGGGAAGAGACTTTTGAAATAGATGTTTTTAAATGTGTCTGACTTAAAAATCATCTGCCAAGACTAGGTGTGGATTTCAGGGACCACAGAGTACTTGAGCCCTGGCTACCTTGAGTGTCTGCAGTCATATGATGACAAGGAGAGTGTGTTCCCTCAGAGAGAGTTTATGATCACTCTGTGGAGTTTGTATAGTGAAATGTGTTCATAGACCAGAGAAACCCATGCCTTCCTGAGAAATCTTGGCTCAGAGCCTTGGCACAGAAAACTGCCAGGGGGCTGTTAGACTGTTTTGTGGAGTGAAAATTGGAGGCCTGAAAACTCCAGTTTCAAGGCAGATGCAACCTACTATTGCGGGACACGCTTCCAAAGGTGATTCATGCATGCAGTACCTTGGATTTGTACAGTGCTTGACCTGACATTTCACTGTATTCTGTAGACTCATTATCAACCCCAAGGTATTGGATTTCTTTCAGTCAAGTTTTATGGATGAAGAAATATAGGCTTTTGTGAGGTTAAGCCAGTAGCCCATGGACCATGTGGCTCAGATGTAAGATGGAGCTATAACCTGGTTTGTACGTGATGGTCCTGTTTACTCCATTGGTCCAGTGTAATTGTTGGCAGGGTCCTCTTTGCATTTAGACAGGTTGGTTTAGCTGATACACAATCTTGTTTTCGAGTCCACGCCTCTTGATGCTGAACCCATCTCGTGGGCTCTCTCTAATGCCTTGTAAATGGTCTTAGAAAGCTATGGCTTGTCAAACACATGTGGCCAGTGCAGTCTGGAGCCTTCCCTTCTCTACCAACCAGTGCTGCTGGTTCTGCCCATGGTCTACCCATTGTCTTCTAGCTTCCTCCATGTTCTGGCCAGGAGAAACCACCATTGATTATATTTTCACTATGGATTTTAATAAAAATCACAAAAATCTGGTCCCTATGGAACATTAAGAAAACGTAGTTTTTATTTTTTAATTAAGTTTTAACTCAGTTGAGAAAGCTCTCTCACATTCTTTTCTTTTTAATACTCATGGCACTTGGGCCTATTTTTATAGCAGAGTTATACCTTCAGGTGAGTAGATTAGCAGTTTAGATTCTGAACAGTCTTCAACTCTCCTCTCAGTGAGACACTTGGTCTTTTGCCAGGACACAGTATGGTGAATACAGCTTCCAAGAATAAAAGTTCATACTATAGGGTCCTGGGCTCAACATTCAGAAGTCTATTTATAGCTGGAATTGGAACACTCTCTCAGATGTCACCATAAAGACATCAAGCTCACTTTTGCAGTAAGCACCGATTTCTATTTTTCTTAAGAATGGCATTGCCTTCAAATGCTGCCCCCGCCCCCATGGTACAGTATAAAAAAAGCTTTCTGGTTAGAATTTAGTTTGGAATAATTTGAATAGTCTTAAAGCTCCATTAATTTCCAAAAACAACCTAAAAATCATGCCATTCAATAGTTTCTTCATTACATGGCTGAAGGAGGAAAGAGGTTTATTTTTCTAAGTGATTCTTTAATGTACTGTACTGGGATGAGAAAGAGGAAGAGGGAAACGAGGGGTGGAAGAGGGAGGAGAGGCAGAGACAGGTAGGTGGGGAGTAGGGAAAGAGAGTAAAGTCTCTTATACGGGGAAAACCAAGAACATCTCTTCTGAGATTTCACGTTTTAAAAAAATGCACAGAGAAAAAAAATGCACAGAGAACTAGAAAGCTCCAATTAAAAACTTAACAAATATAACAAAAGCAAAGTCAAAGGCCAGGAAGCCCCTACCAACATACCAGACAGTGAACTCTCCTAGCTGAGGTTCAAAAATGAAGAGAAATCGCCACTCTTCCACAAAAACAACTGGTATCATTTTGGTTTTCAAGTGATATCTTCTTGTATAGCTGCATCAGATAGAATTCTCCATTAAATAAACGACTCGTGGAAGATGTCAAAACAGTGGGAAAGTAAAAAAAGGGGGGCTTATCAATGAGCTGTTTGTTCCTTGAACTACTTATCTGGCAGGTTTAAGAGAAGGGGAGTCTCAGGTTAAGCTTGCTACAGATACAGTCCTTGAGATAGCCTTTCACGGGAGACTTGTGTTTTGAATTACTCAGAGCTGAGATGATCTCAAAGGCTTTAGTCACCACCCTTTCCCCTTTCCAGTTTTAGCCGTTTCTGTCTTCAGTGACGCCCTCAGGATTTCTTCTTTCTCTGCTGCCTCCCTACCCTCACAGGGCTGCATGTGTAGGTACCTACCATTCAGGTGTGGCCTTTTGGATGACTCAGTTTCATGAGGCCATTTTGAAGAGATACATTTTGGTAGGGCCTTGAAATCAATTGCAAACCTTCAAGCTCTTAAAATGACTTGTAAAATCAACATTTCCACCTAATTCATGTATTGCCCTTTTTTTTGGGTACCCATTTCATTCTCCCATCCCAAGTGGTTGGTGGAAATACTGTATTGAGGGTGGAGTTTGTAGAGTACCTGTATTGGTATATTGTTCATTACTGTACCATTACTGTTTTTTGAAAGAAAAGAGTTTCATTTATTCTATAGTTTTGGAGGTCCAAGGGTGTGACACCACCTCTGGTAAGAGCCTCATAGTGGATAGCATCACAATGGTGGGAGCACGTGCAAGAGGAAACAATCACATTGCCAGACAGGAAGCCAGAACAAGGTTCAGGGAGAGCTTACTCTTGTAACAACCTTCCCACAAGAACTACTGGGGTCCTGTGGGAACCACCTGATCCCTTCTGAGGGCAACGCCAGTGTCCTAAGGATAACCCATTAGGCCCTGCCCCTTAAAGGTTCCAACACCTCAACATCACTACCCTGGGGACCAAACTTGGAACACATGAACCTGTGAGAGACAAGCCACAGCTAAACCTGTGCAGGTAATAGCAAAAAATTTTCACTACATTTTCAAAGACTTATTTTGATCTGAGTGCTTCAAATGATCTTTCCTCAAATGCCTGACTTTGGAACAAATCAGTTTAGAGAAGGAAAAATTTGCCTAAGAACGTTCCAAATGTGTTGTCAGAGGCTGTCCCACCAGTTAGTGTGGACTTCTACTTTGGTACCCTTCTGGTATATTATTATGAAGATTAGACTTTATCCCATTCAGGATGCACATAGCCAGAGGAGTGCTGGCATCAGAATACAATTTCTTTGAAATAGAAAAATAATAATATGAAAAATTTTATGTTCTTTTTGTCTCCAGCCTAGCTGCAATATATACTAGGAAAAATGTAATATTGTCACAGAATAAACAGAAGAAAAAAGAAAATCTGATTATCAAAGTCACAATTTGCAAAATACTTTGGAGATCTGTCTTTATTATGAAATTAAAGTCACAGCAGTAGCATTTATCTGGGTCGTATGAAATCTTACTTGCTTCTGAAGACCTGGAAGGATCTTCTCAAAGCCCTCTAACTGTATCCTAGCATCCTTTCTGTGCTTCCTGTGGACTCTTGGGCAGCAGGGAAGCGAATCATCTTTATATACCTTCAGCACCTAGTATTTCTGGCCCCAGTATCTGCTGACTTTGGGTAGATGTTTTTGATCTTATCACTTTATTCAAGTTGTCATTCTCCCATTGTGCTGACTGAGGTCTGCAACTGAGCTCCTTCCTGTGACATCTACAAAAGTTACACATATAAATTCTTATGGGTATAAAAGATTTTCATGAAACTATGGGGGAATAGTAGTGGGGGTAGAGATTTCAACCTTTAATATTGAGCAAGAGTAACACTTACTATCAAAATGGAAACTATTTCAGATGTAAAACACTTTAATGTTCTTAGGTTATCTGGTGTTTCAGATTAAAATTTAGAAAATTTAAAGTTTGGAATATTTAGCAGCTATAAAGTATTCCATTGTATGATTATTCCACAGCTCATCCATTTGTCTGTGAATGCATATTTAGGTTATTTTCAGTCTTAACCATTGCACACAATGCTGCAGTGAACATTGTTTTCATTTTTCCTTGAACAAATATGTAGCAATATCCTTAAAGTATATTACTAATAGCCAACATTGGCTGTTTCATCTCTGAGACTTAGACTCTTATTAGTTGGCTGTTTTCATTAGCTCTTTCTTTTTCATTTTTTTCCTCACTCCTTTTTGTATAAAATACTCTCTGTCATTCAAAATTATCTGCCCTTTTTCTTCCCTGAGCAATTTAGCCCTTAAACTCAGCTTCTGGTTCATTTTTGCACATGCAATTCCATTATGCCATTCTGCAGAATAAAAAAGCAACCCCCACACTTATTTTAATAGGACACAATTTCTTTAGGCATTGTGGCTGCACAAAGAATTTGATATCTCCATTATTTTAGAAAGACTCCAAAGGATGATCTCCTTTATCTCTTTGTCTAGAAGACCATCATGTACTTGTGAGATTTGGTCTGGAAGAACAAAATACACCATTCATTCAACACTTACTTATTATACACACTTTTACCTAGTATTGTTTATGTGGGTGCTGCAATGAGCATAAAGCTGAATATACCTAAGGAACTCTTGACGTAGTCAGAGAAATAAACATAAAGGCAAATATTTATAATATATTTTAAAACTTTCAAGAGTGGACCAAAGTGCTGTGGTAATATTCAATTTATTGAGAACAAGTTTTCAAAAATGAGAAGAAAGTAGGAAGAGTAATTAATTATAAGATGTAGAACCTAATAGTCTAGTATTTTAGAGTTGATGAGAAATCTAGTTGTCCAATTTTAGAATATTAGAAAGGAAAATTGAGAAGCAGTAGCAAGTAAGGTAGATTGGAGTCAGATTTTGTATGGTTGAATAGTCAGGCTTAGCTATTGGAATTTTAATCTGTAAGCAAGAGAAGAGCCACAAGAGATGCCATTGTAATATAGATTTATACTTATAAAAACTTATAATTATAAAAAAGAAGACAAGAACTGTCTGTACACTTGGAGATTACTTTGGTCACAGATGGTCCAGGGGAAATGCAGAGGCATAGGCTGAAAGCCAAGAGAGAGGGATGGGTGAATAATAATTCAGGAAATGTGAGAGCTGATTGTACCTAGGGTCACCAAACCCAATGGTCCCATCTTTGTGAGGGATCAAAGAAGAAGCGTTAAGGACATCAGGAACCCTAATTTAGGAAGCTAGGTAAGAGTCCTCCAACAAAGAAAGCTTGAGAGGAGGGTTGAGCATTTGTTGGAAAGTCATAACGTTTCAGGTAACTGAATGACAAGTGATGATGAGGCATGGGTGGAGTTGTCTGCTGATGGTCCCAGAATTATGGGTTAGTATTCAGGAGAGGTAAGATTGAAGAAGGAGGCTTGGAAGAAGATTTTGTAGTTGTCAAAAGCAGCAGAGAATTCAAGGAAGATAAGTAGAAAATGTAAGTCATATGAAACTGGCAGTCAGGGATCACTGCGGATATTTTTCAAGAACAAAGTCATTAACGGTGCGGTAGAAAAGGACTTCATTGAGCAATGGAATTTGGTGTGGTGGACATTGTTGATTTTATTGCAAATACTGATTCTCCCTGTCTTTCTTGCCAGTAGAACACTGGTTGAATCGAGGGAGCAATGAGTAGCAAAGGATGACTGGCTGTGTAACACCAAGGAGATATAAGTGGAAGGCTGTTGGGGATTTCTGGGAAAGTTTGTGGCTTCCTGTCAGGCATTGCTCCTTTCATTGTCTCCTTGTTCTTCCTCTTCTTCCTTCCTACAATAATGTAAGAGGAAGCAAAAATTGAGATGAATGCCTACACACACTGAGGATGATGAGAAAGACAACACTGATGAGCACCATACACTTCTGGTCTATCTACCTTAAAGTATCTTGTGTGAGACAAACTGTTTGAGAGCTTTTGTCAGATAATCTATGGATAGAATGGATGTATTTTTAGTATTAGAAGCTAATTGTTTAAGTTTATGTCAACCCTATGCTTTGGCAACAGAGAGTCTTTCTTTTTTTTTGAGATAGCATCTCACTATGTAGTCCAGGCTGGCCTGGAACTCATTATGATTCTCCTGCTTCAGCCTCCCAAATGTTCCAAGTAGCATTACAGGTGTGTGCCACCATGCACAGCCAAGCGTTTGAGTCTTAAAGTCAATGGCAAGATCACTTTGATCTCTTCTTAACTTGTCATTGAACACCAACATGCAATCCTTCCGGGGTAGCTGTAAAGCACAGATTCTAGAGCAGATTAATTCAATCAGATTATCTAGGAGTGGAGCCTCAAGCTATGCCTTTAATACAGTAGAAAGTTTGAGAAATGTAGTGTAAATTGACCATCCTCTTTTCAGGTACATGGAAGTGAGGATATAGGGGTACAGCTATGGGCAGCCAGTGAAAATGACCTTGTTCTATCAAATTGGGGATGGATGGTTATGCTTGTATCTGAGTGGGATAGAAAGTAATTAAAGAGCTCATTTTGAACCTAGTGGCCAGAAAAATAAGGCTTGGATGTTGACCTGCTCTGGGTTGGTCTTAGATAATATCAGTGCTTGGTGCCTTTCAAATGTCTGTGGGAATGGCAATCTCGACGGTTACTGATTAAATGTGGGGGAAATGATGGAGGGGGGTGACTCTTTTCATCTCCCTTAGCATCAGTCCCACAGATAAGTATGATATCTCTGGGGAAAACAAAGACAGAAATAGTCCTATACAGGTAAAGGAGGTAGAGTAGAGGGTACTGGAGTTGGGAGTCAAGTTGGGTAACTCATATTATCTGTTTGGAGAAATTAGTCACGTTTCACACCACCATATAGTTCTTACTGCCTTATCAACTAGGGTTGATGTTACATAGTTCCACCTGTCATTTCCATCTTTAAATAATTTAGCAGGCTTTTTTCCCCCAGAGGAACTGAACCTAAAGTGACATCCAGCATATAGTTTACATCAACTCTGAGCAATAAGCAAAAGTGGGTAAAGCTTTGACTTATTTATTTGTAGTTTCTCTCTTTGAACTTGTATTTTCTGAAGAGTTACAGTATTTTTTCCAGTGCGGTATGTTGTCCAAATGGAAATATTCTCCAAAGTAATGACACCAAGATAAAACCAAGATAAAGAGCTGGCATCATGATGTTTGACAGATCATATACTGTGCTTACACTGAAATTGAAATGATCAAAACTAACCTCATGGAAAAATGCAAACACTCAAAGATTGTATAAAATATACATAAATCAAATTTGTAAAGCAATTCTAATGTCATTTTTTAAAAACTGCATTTCCTCTTAGAAGACTCATCAGATCCATTTAGTCCAAAAGCTTGTTGGGTGGTAGGAATGATGATGATTAAAGCATGATAAATCAGCAAAACTGCTTTACATCTACAAAAATGTGAAAACAAACCTTTAGGCAAAATGCTAAAAATAGGCTCATTTTGGTGAAATGAAGCTGTTTGAATAAATGAAACTAATAGTTTTTATCTAAACCATCTGTGGTGTGAGATGGGAAGTCATGTAGGAAAGTCCTTAGAGACTCCTGATTGGTCTGCCTGAGGAAGGGGTGGGCGGGAGCAAATGGGCTCTCTTTCCTGTATCTGGGAATTGACAAAGTGATCAGCAAAGGGAAGCTGGAGGGCAGCTTGTGCCTGCTGCAGGCAATCTGGCTCCTCCAACTGTGGGTGCTTTGAAGGTGAATGTTTTGAGGATGTGCGGGAATTGATAGGTTATAAAAAGTAGGAGATTCTCTCTCCTGTTATGAAGGAAGAGAAAAGAAAGAGGGGGAGAAGGGAGAAAGAAAACAGAGAAAGTTTAAAAAAATAAAAAGAGAGGAAAAAAAATCTAAAATACCCCCAGGGGCCCTGATTCTGTGAAGGACTATCACTTCTGTTATGTTGGTCTGCTGAAACCACAGCACGAAACCAGGTGCTAAGAATGAGCCAACTCAACCGTAGAATGGCTTTGTAGATAAGTGCATTTTGTAATATTACCCGGAAATTGCAGTTTCATTAAGATATACTTTTTTTTCTTTCTTCTTATATGAAATTCTTGCTGATACCAGATTTAGATTTCTGTGTTGATTAAAAAAAAAGTGTGACAGAATACACCACAGAGTTTGTTACAATAAATTTGGAAGATTTTCTTTGGGCTGGAAAAACTGGATAAGTCCTCTCAAAGATAAACCTAGCTGGATAAAAGTGCAGATTACTTTTATTTGGGATAATTTCTACATGTCTAGCATGTCAAGAATATTAGCTTTCTGGTATAACGGACTACAAGCAATGAGAACTTCCTTGCTTTTTGTGTAACCAGAATGGGACCCTCTCTTATTTCATTTCATTGGCTTTATCAGACTCTGTCTTGAAATTATCATAACCCTTTACCTCCCACACTCACTTAACTCATCTGAAAAATCAAAGAATTACAGGTCACTGGGAGGCAATCAAACCTATAAAGGAGTTAATGATGAAAATATCTGTCATATATTGTCTTGCAAGATAATAAGAATACACATGAGCCAGGGCAGTGGCACATACCTGTAATCTCAGCTACTTGGAAGGGTGAAGCATGACGGTCAAAAGTTTGAGGCCAACTTGGGCTACTTAGTAAGACTGTCTCAAAAACAAAAACAAACCAACAAAGCCACGTGGTTTCCCCCTTACCTACCCTGGCTTTTGAATTTTTTTAAAAGCAAAATTAATTTTTCCATGTGCATTGAGTCCAGCCATGGACTCTACTGCATCGATGTACACCCGAAGGTACCCTTGGGCCAAGTAAGGGATATATTTCCGCATAATTCAGCAGTTGGCTTAATTTAACAGCATGGGGAGGACCTCGTGGAGATAACTTTTTCCTTAGAAAATGGCCACAGTGCCCTTAAGTTCACAGCCATTTTGGAACCTATAATACTCTGGAACTTAAGTTCATAGATTATTTTTTAAATGATATTTGCATTCCTGGTTTTCCTCTGTTTATGCCTGGGCTTGAGCAGAGCCAGGGTCAGGGGGCTTAGGCAAACATACATCCTCTCTCTGTGTCCACCAGTCACTTCATTTCTGTTTGTAAGAGCTGAATTAGTATTCCATCTCGTCCAACTACAGTATCACCCTCCATGATGGTGTGTGAAATGGAGCAGGGAGACAGAACTCTCAGATGTCTGTAGTAGATAGGTACACTCTCTGGGCTGAGAAAAATGGTTCATTTGTCTATATCGGGTTCAAATGTCAAGCATCTGCATCAATAGTAAAGACTTCAAAACAAAGTTATAAGGAGGTGAAACCGGAAAACATCTGCAGTGTTCTTCAGGCTTAACTTCTCCGCAACCCCACCCCCACTCCCCCAGAATGTAAAGGGGAAGTGCCTGCAAAGAAAAGGTTAAGGAATGACGATGTCCTTCTGCATCTGCTGTAGCAGCTTCTCCCTGTCTGATGCAACATGAAAAGGCTGAGACTACTCCCTCCGCCACCAGTCATGGTGGCAAGACTAATGTGGCTTTTACCACAACACTGGGTCCTTTGTAGTCTGATGTTTAACAGCATTGGAATGTTATTCTTTCCATTGCCTTTATGATGCTACTTGGATTTGAAACTATTGGGTCTTATTCCAGCCAAAAACTCAATCTGCTCTTTTCTTTTATCAACTTCAGAACATTTAAACCTGTTTCATTCTACAGGTTTCCACTGAATCAAAGCATGAGGTACATATTTTTCAAGGTAGCTTGTACCCTTGCAGAGTTCCAGGGGCGTGTCCCAGCTTCCAGGCTGAAGATTAAAGGCCACCACCCAACTTTTCCTCAACATCCCTTTTCAGTGACAGGGCATGTGCCAGGTCTGGGGAAACAAAACACTCACTTTGAAATTCTGATGGTTACAGACCTTTGATATAGCCACTTTCTAACTGTCTTTAAAACCTTTTACCTACAACAGTTGCAAGCTGTGGTTTTTTTTTGTTGTTGTTTTTTGTTTTTTGTCTGTGTGAGGTCACTAACAGCACAACCACTATCTACACAGAGAATGTATTCATCCAGCACCCAAACCACCTACTGGTTTCCGGCACCTCTTATCAGCTAAGCCATCAGCAGTGAGCTGACATTTCAGCATTGAGAAGCTCCCCACCCCCACCCCCCAAAAAGTGACAGGAGGAGGAAAAGGCTCATTTGGCAATAGTTTGCTCTTGCTGTTTGGCCTGGAGAAAGACATTCAAAGTGGTAGAAGCTTGTTTAGTAACAGCTGGCGAGCACCAGGGTGTGAGGCGGATTTTCAGATATGACAGCCACTTACAGGAATGCTGCCAGATACAGCTGTTTAAAAGCCTTAATAAACAGCAAGTCAATACTAATCTTTGCCAAATTAATCTTTTCCCTGACAGCCCATCAGAGCAATTATGTTTGGGCTTATTGTAAGAATACAATTGTCAAACACGGACGTTCCAGACTTAAAAAAAATCAAACTGTAGTTTGGTTTGTAGTCTCTCTTTAGAATATTTTTTGTTTTCTCTGTTGAACTGTCTTTGCATTTTATGTTTTGGTCACCTTTTTTTTCTGGCCTCATGTCATTGTGAATAAAATTTCATTTTCAAATTTCTTTGCCAGCAAGCTGAGAATAAAATATGAAATGATTTGTGCTAATGGGCTTCTTCCATTTGCTGCAGCTCTGACCCCACTGAAATCTAACACATCATTGTTCCCAGTTGTCTCCCATTCTGGAACAAGAACTTCCCATCTTCTCATCTACTATGGCACGGTCTGGTGCTGGGTACGAAGGACAAGATGTTTGGTTACGTCTGAAATGAGAATGCAGAGCTGAATCTGTGTATACACTAGGTGGCCAAGTGCCTCTAACTGGGTTCTGAGTTTCTCTCCTCCCCCCCTGCTCCCAGCCTCCTTCCTTTGATTGGTAAGCTTTAAGGATCCTTATTCATTTTCTCTAAGCAATAGTCTTATCTAAGGATTTGGAAACTTTGTTGTTATAAAAGGTTTTCCCACACTGAGAAATGGTGCCAAATGAAAGTATGGAAATCTCCTTTGAGAATCTGAAAAAAAAAAAAAGAAAAAAGAATTGTTTGTTCTGATCTTGGAATCATTTAGGTACAATTCAGGTAAAAAGATTCTTTTTCATGCTTCACTGAGTAATACTCACACTTGGTAATTAGGAAAAAAACAGATTCCTGTTCATTGATATTTTAATTTAGTGTTCCATAAAACTTGACATATGAAATTTCTCCTAGGTTCCACCCTTCTACGTGTCTAGTGCTTTTTCCCCCTTGCTTCTTATTTTCTTGATGTAACAAGTATGTATTATTATCCTTTACTTTTGTCACAACTAGAAAAACTTGTTCAATTATGTAGGCCAAAATATGATATGATTCATTTTTAAATCCTTTTAATCTTTTGATAACTTTGGATTTCTTATTTCTTCTTCACTTCTAATGCTTGACTATAAGCAAGGATTTAATTATTTTTTTATATTCAGAAGCTTCTAAGTTAAGAGAACATACAATTCCTGTTGAGGATAAATTGTGATGTTTCACTGATTGTTACATCTTTGCGTTTATTGTGCACCTAGGATGAGCTATGATATTTCAAGTTATTTTGAAAACAAGGAAATTATTTAATTTCAAGGAGTCAAAAAGAGATTTGTACTGTGCGATGAATCACATGAATTTACCCATTAAGTAGAAGAGTTACTCAGTGTAGTACATATTTAGGGATTAAACTCATAATATCAATTTTCTTCTTTGCCAGTATTTTAATGTCCAAATATCAGCAACCAAGATGAATTTTTTCATATTTGTATCCATATTTTAAAATTAGAGTTTGAATAGAATAAGAAAATACAGGTCAAATTCCCATTCAACAAATAAATATTACGAGAATATCTAGGGCCGGTGATTTAGCTCAATGGTTCCACCTCCTGCCTCAAAAGCCCAAGGACCAGAGTTTGATCCCCAGTAACAACAAAAAAAAGAGAATATCTATACATAGCAAAACTTTTCATGTTGTAGACAATAACCTTTTTATTCAAATGTCCGCATAAACTATTTTACTACAACAAAAAATAAAGACAGTTACTGAGGTTTACTGGAACTCAGGAAATTTAAATATTCTTCAATATGAATAGTGTCTAGGATGGATTTAAGTGGGGTAACTTTTAAGCAAACATAACCAATGACTTCCAATTTTTTGCCTAGCACTTTGTGAAGTACTACTAACTGCATTAAAAATTACATCTAAAGGTGTAGCTGAAGCCCTATTGTCCCTAGTTCCCACATCTTCAAGTGGAGCAATATGAAATTACCATTTGTGTAGGTGAAGAATTTAAACATTTACAATTTTATATGGGTCAGTCTAAGGACCTGCCAAATGAGTGGAGTAACTCTTTTGCAAAGGGTGAGAGGTCCATGGAAAAAGAAGATTGATTGTTGATGTACTAGTTTTGTATTTTGCATCAAAATTTTTTTTAGCAATGAATCAGCCTGGATACGCTGCTTTTGTTAGTCATGGCTTTCATGGACAGCTCGTGTCCCCATAGAGAGGGCACTTTTTGTCATAAAGACAAAGATAAAAATAATCAGAGATAAAATTCATCATTCGATTTGTCCACAAATGTGATCAATTGGAAGCTGTAATTTGACTCATTTTTCCTTTGTCAACTCATGCTCCTTGGGATGGGAACTGGGATTTTTGATTATTCTTCCTTGATTTTCTTAGAGATGAAACCTACTCTTACCAACCAACCCTTTCCCCCTTAGTCAGTAGCTCTTATTCTAATTTTGGGTATGTTTGTGAAGATATTTTATGCCCAATATCATTGCTGAAGGTCTCAGAATGATTTTATTCATGGTCCAAGGATCAGTTGGAGTATGTAGCAGAGAACTTGGCACGTACTAGCTATGCTTCTCTGAGTGACAAGGTACAAGTGTTGTGCTGCCTACTATGCCCAGGCTTGTCCTGCCTTCCTTAAAGAGGGCAGATTAGAGATGGCAACTCTCTTAGGTCATAGTTCATTGTTCAGAACTTGTTTATTGTTTAGGTTGGTGGGAGCATTCTTAGAATTTCAGAACATCTGCAACTATGCTTGTTTATTTCTGCCCTGAATTTACTTGAGGTACTCATCTGACTAGCCTGTTCTTTAGAGACTGATGGATCACCACATAGAATACGGTCACACATGGTAAGAGTTTTTATTGATGATGTATTTTCTTTTATTTATATTTGTTTTTACTGTATTTGGTATTAAATTTCAACATTCTCTCTACCCTGGTTGCACACCTGCTCTGGAAAAGCTGTAAACAACACTATACTTCCCTGTACAAAACGCCTGTCAGAGTTGGAGGTGCTTATTCTCATCAGGGTGATTACCTTCCCAGTTTAGACTTAAGAGAAAATTTTACTTTTTCATAATATAATAAATAAAAGGCATTCGTTAATTAGTAGTGCTGGTATATTTCTAAAATACTAAATAGACAAAAATAAGCTGTGAACTTAATCACATAGGTCCTTACACAGTTCCAAGACAGGGAAACCAGAGCTCCCAGCTACAATCATTTTAATAATCACATTGGATCTGCATTATATTAGTTACGACATGCTCAAGTGATTCAAGGTTGGACAATGCCTAAAATCATTTGAAAGCAAGCATACCTTTTGTCTTTTTAATTCTGATTGGATTACACAGTGCATATATTTGCATTGATTTAAGTTGCTAAATTTATTTTGCACGTTCTGTGAGACATTAGCCATTCTCTTGATTTTCTGCCAGATTGACTTAGTTGATACAATCTCCTATCAGAGACTAACTTTCTAGCTCTTTTTTGGTGTAAAAATTATGCAAACCCTCAGCCATATTTTCAATGATTTTGGTCCCTCAGCAAATCTCTAATACCCCAAGAATTCTCTTAAATGACTTATGAGTTCTGGAAAGAGAAGTAGCTCATAGGGCCACAAAAAAGAGAGAATCTCAATTTCTATCAATGACCTTCAAATTGGAGTGTTTCTTCTCCCTCTTTTGCTATTACTCATCTTTCATTTCTATATTTATTTTTGGCAGTATGCTTTCCTTTACTTCCTCCTGTCCTTTGTTCAATTCTTACATGTTTTCTGGATTTTGTGACAAGCATGCAGCTTGAGGAATTCTGGGTGATTCAATATTAACTTTTTGGAGGGAAATTTTCAGAATTGACTAAATCCAGCTGAGAACCAAAAAGCAACTATTTTTGGATAAAGTGTGTGTCTATTTAGTCCTGGAACTTGTATGACTTTTAGGGCAATTCGCTATTGTACTGTAAGGAACAAGTAAGTTTTAAAATAGAGTAAGTTTTCATTTGTATCAGCCAAAAAATGTGGAAATAAGGATTGGTTATTTTAATTTGCTGTTAAATGAAAAGCAGGTTTGGGTTTATTCATGAGTCACTGTAAAAACTAATAAAGTATTCACATCAAGCATGATTTTTTTTGCCAGCAAAAGTTAAAACATCAAAGAAACCTCTTTCAAATACTAACAAATTTACTTACAAACACCTATATTTATTATTTCATAAATAGGCGCAACAGATTCCATAAAAAAAGATTAAATACAGACACAGTATGAAGAAACAATAATACAGAGCCATATGTGAAGGTTATAATTTAGCTGTTTCCAATCTGTTTCTGCATCTAATAAGATACCAGGTAAGCATTTGGCAGTTTTATACATAAAAGGACTTAAATGACATTTACTAACCATTACACAAAAAAGTGATACAAAAAAGCAATTTTTCTGCAGTACAAAATAAATGTGTTTGCGCTTTCCTTTTCCTAGTTTCTTTTTGTCTGATCAATGAGACAAAGCCAATTTGTTTTTAAATTAAAATCATTTGGGAACATTTTTTCAAATATTTTGAAAATATAGAACTATTAGTTGTTTTAAAAATGAAGTAAAAATATGAATGTTTGCCAATTTAACCCTTACTGTGAAATCAATAAACTGGGATGAACCAGTTTGAAATTACAATTTAGCTACAAAAACATTCACATTTTATACTCTAGGAGAGTGTAACATAGATGCTATTTACAAACTTGCTATGACTGCTACATCAAGCCATTTAAAAAGTCTTTAGTAGTTTCATATAAACACCCATTATGAAAACCAATGGAAAATCCAGGACTGTTATCCGAGACATCTACAGGTGCTAAGGCAGTTACTAGCGCGCAGCACTTCACAGCAAAAAACCAACATAAAATCTGAATGGTCCATATTTCCTTCAGGGAAGAAGAAAAACAATGTCCATAAAGGATTAAAAAAAATAATAAAGAAGCATGACTATTTTTTCCAGGGTGGAGTGACCCACAAGCTCACATGGTCCTAGGTGCTTAGCAACTTGTATTTTCTAATAAAATGGAGAACTGCCTTGACTGTACAAAGCAATCCACGGTGAAAGGACTTCCCTGAATGCCTCAGTGGAAAGAAGAGGTGTTCGGATTTTCAGGTAAGGTACAGTGCTTTGTCCCTCTGCATGCCCCTGTATAGAGAGAAAAGACACCATCCTCATTACAGGTCAACCCATGCTGCAAGGGACATACACTATGGGCTTGGGTTACTTGTTCTAGCTTGAGGGATGGAGTTGTGCACGGGTAGTTAACCTACATGTAAAGTGAACAGAGATCTAAATTAATTTAGTTTTGGAAGGGCTAGAAGATGGCTCCAAATTTCTGGAGCGGTGTCTTCTGCCTTCCTGAACATGCAAAAACATTCCAGACCATGTACTGTCTTTTAAAGCAAGATCGACCAGGGTGCATGCTATGAGCACTATCCACCGCCAGGTGGCGATGGCCAGCCGCTTACCCACTACTACAGTAGTCGTTATCCCAGTCCACCGGCTGAGCGGGAGGGTTTCTGCACCCGGAACGCACATACTCCATTGCTTGGGTGACAACTTGGGCGGCTGTGGACGTAGGGTTGATAATAGTCTGATAGTCGGGCTGAAGAGTAAACCCCTGAAAAGGTAAAAAAGTAAGTTCGCAAATAAGGATCAAAGTGCCTTTTAAAGAAGTAAAACACCGAAATATTTACCCATTCTTTGTAAACACCCCAGGGGCCTTCTTGCTCCTGCCTCTGCAAGACAAGCGCATCAGAAGGGCCCAGAAAACTCAGGACAAAGGTGTGAGAGATATGCCTGCGACCTCATTCTTCTTACCTTTCCTTCATTGAAGCGTGTGCCAGACAACCTTTAATCATAGTCTCAAGCTGATAAACTGAATTGAGAAACAATTTAAAACGGAGAAGCCAACTCAATCAAAACAAAGGGAGAAAAGAGCTTAAACCCTCAAAGTTTATGTTTTCTATCAAACCTAAGGATACATTAATGGTTAATCCCCAGAATATGCAACAGAATCCTTTTTGAAGGATTCAGGCAGCAGGTGGCTGAGTGTTTTATTAGACTACACCTATTCACATATTGTTCTCAAAACCCCTTTTCTTCATTCAATCACAAAGGGACCATCTGCTTCTTCTTTTATTTGTATTTCTCTCTCAGTTAAAAAATTTCATCCAAAGCTTTTTAACAGTTGTCGGACTAATACAGGGAAAGAGATGCAAAACAACTTGCCGTTAGAAAACACAGAGAGGGAAAAGTGTAAGACAGAGCAAATATGTTTTAATTGAAAAGTCTATTAACTGGCAAACAATAATCAGACTTTGGGGAGATTCTTTTAATTCACTAGTATGGTGAAGTGTTGACTTTTAATCTTAGCAAAGCTATTAAAAATTCAAGGACAGAATCTGTGAAGTATATAGCTATATCTGGTAAACAAAAAGCATTATATGCGAAGATTTATTTTTAGCTTATCTGGTGAATTCAAGAGCAGCATAAGCAAGCTTTGCTGGAAGTGACCAAAAAAAGCAACTTAATTAATCTTGTGGTTGGCTCTGCAGCAGAGTCCATCCATGGATTTTAACCACTGAGAAATCAAGAGTTGTTTTTTTAAATGAACCATTCTCTATTTGCTTGCCCAAAGCTTTTGAAGGCATGATTTACTTATCTTAAACTCAGCAGGGTGATTAGAATGCTGGTTTTTAAAGATATTTCCTTAGAGTTTTATTCATGTTTGTGTTTTCCTTGTGTAAGGACTCAAAGACCAAACCTACTGTCAAATGTCCTCAGTTCTCAATATTGGCTAAGAATTTATTTTCCAGATGACAAAGATTTCAAACCAATGTCCACATCTACTCTCACCCAAATAGTGGAGAAAGACAAACTTTGGAATGACTGTAAGCAAATCATTGAAACATAGATAATGCAGCCAGACTGGCTGACACAGATGGACTAGATTTCCAGTATTAACAACTGGTTTGTGGGAAATAAGGTTATCTGAACAGACACCACTAGATCTGAAATTGTTCCTTTAACTGGCCATTTGAGAGTCTAGTCCTTGCTAGGCAGAATTCTTCTTTATCCAGACCTTCCTAGAATTCCAACATGGAGTCTCAGGGGCTTTAGTGTCTTCATTTCCTGTGGTCCTGCCATATTCTCCAGCATTCTGGATTTCCTGCCCTAGTGATAAGTGTGCTGCTGGGCAAAGAGCAGGAGAATATACTGGGAGCCTGGTGTTCACTTCCTTTATTAAGGCCCCATGGTGAAGGCTGTTGATTTTTGAGGACCTGAGATCAGTGTTTGAAGTACTTAACTGGATATTTTCAGGGCCTAGCCCATAGTAGTGGCTCAATAAATCATGTTTTTCTGTAAATAAAGTTTGGTACAGACTATTTGATATTACTGTTAAAAAGGCACATGGTAGATCAATGTGTAAATGCCAGGGCTTTCCTATATTTTTAATGCAAAGTTCTCCCTATTGAATTTTTGTACAGCCAACAAAATGTAACTTAAAAGCAAACAGGTATGAAAACAAAGAATAAGTGAAAATATCTTGAGTTGGTTGAAGACATGGAAATATAAAAAAGTAATGTATCTATACACACACACACACACACACACACACACACACACATCATTGCTTTTTTCCATTCAGTGGAAATACTTCCTGAAGTTGAATGAGAGAACATCAGAAAAAAAAATTAGTTTTTAAGTTATTATACATCAATTTGTAAATCAAAATTGTGTGTTAGTACAAATTTCAAAGGCTGAAAATTCAGCTAACTTCAATGTCTAAATTAAAGCAAACCACTAACACCAAAAGAATCAAGGACTAAGAAAAATACAGACAGACTGTGAAATAACATTATTTTACTCTCAAGTTAGAAAATAAAACATTCTTCTGAAAATTATACAGAAAAATGCCTAGGTCAAACTTAGAAGTAAGTGCATTTTTATTATTGATGTAAATAGAAAACAACAATGATGATATAAATTTTTTTGAAAAATGTTTGCTTAGCACTCCAATTAAACAAGACTGAATATTTTGCATTTTAATACTCAGGAGAAAAATCACCAACTGTTGTGTAGCAAGCTTGGAATTTTAAATTTCATTTTCTGGTGCCAGATTGAAATAAAAATAGGAAACATGATAAAGATTAATTTGATGTCAGAAGGGATATTTGCTCTTTAATTAGATTTCTGTAGCCCTAGCAGTTTTGCTGTGCCACCATAGCAAGTCCGAAAAAACCTGAAGCACGACCAAACACTGATTCTCATATCCACACTTTACTGGGAACTAATTTCATTTCCTGCCTGTCTGGAGAGGTATTTTCAACAGGCATCAATGTTTTTGTCTTCATGACTGATTTATTCATCAATCTCAATGTGATTTTTTTAAACCTTTAAATTACACCCAAATCCTAAAGCAGCTGTTTATTACACAAGGAAATTGAAAATCTGTCTGTGTGATATCATACAAAGATTTTTTCTTAAGGTTATAAAGGAAGTTGACAGATATTAATGATTTTTTTCTCTTGACCTCATTCAACAATAGAGTGAGCAGAAAAAGAAAGGACGAAAAAAAAAGTAGGTCCATGGCTTCAGTGTATAAAATATTCTAGAAAAATATGAAACTATTATTCCTGGTAGACTAAACAATTATTTTTGTAGGATATATCCATTTTCAAAAGGATAATAAAATAGCAAAAGTAATAAATATGAGACATTCTTTTAAAAATACAGTAACCATTAACTTTCTTCTCTCTCCTCCTCTCCGCTCTTTCTCTTTCCTTCTTTTTCATTCCTGTTTGAAGATGGGGACTGTGACTGTACAGGAAGTAAAACAATATCTTTGGGATAAAGATGGGCTTGGATGATGAATCAGTTCAAATATTTTCCACAACACAGGTCTCCACCTACAGGAATGAAATCTGACTGACGTGTGAACAATGGCCTAACGATTGTGATGGTAGTAAATTCAGTGACACCTGCGGTGGCCTCTTTGATCTTGGTTTTAGGGCGATCAACTTACCGGGGCTGCCAGTCTCAGTCTCATGATCATGTTCCCAATCAATTAAATTTTTCAAAAAAGTCCAAGGAACTGAGATTCTACGACCTAATCTCATTCCTTCTAACAGTTTACACACTACTCATTTGCTTTTTAGTTGTTCATCACTCAACAATTACACTATTCATACAAGGAAGGCATTTCCACTTTGAGTTCCTATCAGTTCGTGTGCTATTAGCAAGAAAAATGAAATCAGTGTCTACCATCAGAATACTTTTTGCAGTATACTAACAGAAATGATTTACATAATGATAAATTCTTTGTCCAATGTTATCCATGCTTTTTCCTACTTAGTTAAGATTCTCCAAGGAAAGATAAATCTCTTGAATTTTTACATGTGGTTTTATGTAATTTTGAAACATTTGAAAACTGTTCAGGGCCACAGCAAGCTCATCCAAGGTGTTAGCATAAACAGAAAAAGGAGACATTTCTGAGTGAATAAATTAGAAAATAATCTCCTCTCTGGACAGTTCCTTGGCCCTCAGCTGGTGAGAGGTCAATGCCTTTGGTATTCCTTCCTTTGGTAAAAGCCACCCTGAACTGAAGCACTGTGAAAAATACCTAGCACCCTGAGGCAGGGGTCAGTCTACCCCAATGAAACTGTTGTCCCTCACCCTATGAATTCTCCCAGCAAACACTACTGATACATTAAAATGCAGGTATGCTTAGGAGTGTCTGATAGGAAGGTGGAGATTTGGCCTACGAGTATCACTTGGTCACAAATGCCACTGTAGACAAAGCAGGAGGTTGAATCTGGCTTTTCCCTGGCCTCCCTTCCCTAGTGAGTCTTCTCTAGGGTTTTGGTGAACTTAGGTAAGAAGTCATAGGGTAGTCAGGGCCGCTGGCTTAGGGACCAAGGAACACTTCAGGGAGGAGGATGAATCCTTTTGTTCACCATAAAAATTCTGATTTCAGAACTAACTCAGATTTAAAGATCCTCCAAATTCTTAGAAGAAATAGATTTTTTTAAATCAGAAGTGTAAGGCACACTGGACCTGCATAGGGAGAGTTAGTAATTTACAAATGTGATTGTGAGTGAGACACAGTTTGCTTAGTATTTAAGTATCCAGGCTCTGACTGCTGAACAGATCTGGGTTTGAATTCCAGTTCTGACCCTGTTAGTACATTATTCAACCCTGTCAACTTCAGTTTTCTCATCTGTAAGATGAGACAATTGTAGTACAGATGTTCTTATGCTCTAACTTTTCTAAGAATTAAAGATGAGATAAATATTAAAGCACTGGGCTTATTATTGTCACCTCTTAGAAATCCTATCAATAATGATGAAGATTAAAAAAACTTCTGCCTACATATATTTACCTTTCTGTCTCCTCTCCCTCTTCCTCTCCCCAGTCCAACTATAGACTCAAATTCCACAGAGGGCTAGATACCAATTCTGTAGGAAGGTTATATTTACATATTTACTTGTAGCTCTAAGGACAAGAGTATTTGGATTATAAAAATGAGCTGGGCATGGTGGCATACTCCTGTAATCCCAGAACTCTTGAGAGGCTGATGCAGGAGAATGAAATTTCGAGGCCAGCCTGGGCTATTTAGTGACTTAGCAAGTCTCTGTCTCAAAATTAAAAAAGAAATTTTTTTTTTAGAAAGCTGGGGATGTAGTTCAGTGCAAAGGCCCTGAGGTTATTTGCCAGTATCTCTCTCTCTCTCTCTCTCACACACACACCCAAGGACAGTTGAATTTTCTAACATTTCTAATTTTTACTGTTATTTTCTAAAACAAGTTCTTAGGATTTTTGAGTGCTTCATGTTCAGTTGTTTATATAGTTTGCTTCTAATTTTCAAGTTATGAAATAGCACCAAAATCCAAAAAGAAAATTTTATTTCAAAGAAAAGTTAATATTGTCCACAAGTGATTGCAATAATCAAGGAATGGATAGGGAAGTTTCCAAATTTCCCATGTTTTCTACTTTATGGAGAGGCCAAGTATCCAATTTATTTATGTATTTAAAATTTTCTAGCACTGAGGATTTAACCCAGGGCCTGGTACATGCTAGGCACTCTATCCCTCAACTACATACACCCCATATTCAGGGTCCCTTGAAATATGGTAAAGTAAAACTCTGGTTCAGATGTTCAGTTATTATGGTTTTCTGGGTACCAAGCTTGCTTTAGGACTTGATATTATTTTTTAGCATTTATTGGACTTACTCAACAGGTCTACCAGCCAAGTCAATCTCATTTCCAAACAATATTTTAAAAAAATACAGAGGGGCAGGGATGTAACTCAGTGACACAGCGCCTGCCTGGCAAGTCCTGAGTTTGATCTCTGGTATAAATAAATAAATAAGTAAATAAATAAATAAATAAATAAATAAATAAATTCTCTATCTCAGTGAGATTTGTGGCACCTGAAAATAACCAATATACCTTTTTCAAGCAACAGAAACCGAAAGGGCGAATATAAAGGTGAAGCCAATGGGTATCAAGGGAAAGAAACCAGCAATCACGAACGGAAGAAGCTCTGCTCTGGTGGGGTGGGATAATGTCACCATGTGTGAATTACAGTTTTCCAAAAGTTGGCATCTGTGCACGTCATCGTCTCCCCCCGTTTGAACAGAACAATGGAAGCGCCCTCATAGTTTCCCAGATGAACAGATTCCAGCCCTCTCCCTAGCCCTTCAGAAGAGGGGCGCAGTGCTCAGTGCGGAGCAATGGCACTTACTTGCTGCATGGTCGGGGAGTGTAAGGCAGACTGGACCTGCACGGGGAGCTGGTTCCCAATGGGCTGCTGCATGGCGAGCGGCTGGTGTTGCTGCATGCTGAGATGCTGGTGAAGAGGTGGGCTGATCTGGAGGGGCGGTGGCGGGGACACAGCCACGTTCGCTATTGAGACAGTCACTGGCATTTGGTTATTCGGCTTGGGTGCTATGTTCCTAGGGAGACTAGGATGCATGGCCGTTAGGTGAGGATTCATTCCCGGTTGTTGGTGATAGTGGGAACTTAGGTACAGAGCCGAGTGGGCCTGGCTGGGTCCGTGGAACACTGACGGCTTTGAATTGATCAACTGAGGAGGTTGAGATGTCTTAACATCAACAGGTTCGCTGTAGCTCTGCTGAAATGAAGTGAGAAGAGTTAGGAGATGGATCCATGGAATGATGATTCTATGAGCAAGATGTTCTGTGAGTTTACTCACGAACTGTCATGTGAACCAACACCCATGGCAATTCTTGAGCCTATATCTAAGAATTCCTCCATTATTATTTTAACATAACTTATACACCCTAGTCTTATAACTTATTCTCTTTTATGAAATCTAAAATAATCTGCAATGACCCTTTTTTGTTCCTTTGACTAATGCTAATCTCTGAACTGCTGACTGTTATCATCATCTGAACAAAAAGATGCAGGGTAAGAGGGAGACAGACCGTCACTGCCCTAACGGGAAACATATTATAACTCACTTTCAAAGTAATTCATTTCTGCAGTTCTCCTATTGATTATATGTTCAGCTTTTTTTTCTTTTTC